AGGAAATTGAATGGAGATGGAAATTGAATAAAAATGGAAGTTGACTAAAAATAAAAATGGATACTGCATAAAATTAAACATGGAAGTTCATTCAAGAAACTACTATACCTTAACGTTCTATTTGGAAATTAAATAAAAAAGAAATTGCATAGAAAAGGAAATTGAATAAAAATGGAAGTTGAATCGAAAGTCCAAAGTGCCCCAAATCCTCTCTTTTTCAGATTAAAAGAAAGCTCTCGCGAAGCTCTACCTTTCTTCCAAAGGAACTAGGGTAGAAGACCACCAGGAATAGATCAAATCTTAGAGAGAAGGTGAGAGTAGAGAGAGAAACTCTCAAGTGGTGGTTTTTAAAGAGTTAGGGAAAAGAAGTAGGTCAAAAAGTGATCCAAAAAGTGAAATCACGGACTGATGTAGTCGATTCCCAGCTCGAGCGTGGAAAACCCCGCTCGAGCGTCAGACACAGACTCACGCTCGAGCGTGAAAAGAGACGCTCGAGCGTCGATTACACACTTCCAGAAGTTTTGCAGGCGATGGTATCCGCTCGAGCGTCAAACTCTCCGCTCGAGCGGAGGGACAAAATCAAGGGATCACGCTCGAGCGAAACAAAACTACCGCTAGAGCGGACGAACTGCAGAGCAAAGTACTGAGAGATGGAAAATCACGCTCGAGCGTCAAAACTCCCGCTCGAGCGGATAAGCAACAACGAAGAGCCCGTTCGAGCGTTAAAACTTCCGCTCGAGCGTGAAGACCAAAATCTGGACATCACCTTTTGGTTTCAAAGTGCAACCAACCTGTTTCAAACCTGCCCATCACAACCCAAGATTCAAATACAAAGAGGAAAGGCTAGAAGTGATAATGATACAAAAACAAGTCTACGGAACCAAGTCCAGAATACAGTATACAAAGGAAGGAAAAAAACCGGGATCGCTATAACCAAAATACGACTATAAGCTAAAATCCACACACATGCTCCAATCTAACATGACAGAAAATAATAATAATAATTCGAATTCAGAACTGAAATCAAGTAAGTTCAGAGCAATGTTATATATATATATATATATATAGAGAGAGGTGAGAATTGGAACGTGATCTTTTTTTCTCATTCACAAATTTTATTATCTGAAATAAAACCTCACGAAGAGATGCTTCAAGTGCTGCCCACCAATGACTTCTCTCATCCAGAGCACTCTCTGCCATCATTCACAGGGAAGCATACATCATTATGAGTTATTACTAAAACATTAATAAAAAGAGAGCAATGCACTGCAATGAACATACCTCCTGGGTCTACTACTAATTTGGAATGATGAGATTTTCATTTCATAGAAAGATAAACATATCTGCACCATTAAGAGGCCTATAAGTGGAAACAAGTAAACAAATAAAGCAATTTTTATGAAGAAGAATTAAATACTGCCAAAAGCAAATATGATGGAGAAAAAACTTAGCCATGTTTGAGAATGTGAAAGCAGTGATGCTATATTCTTTAATCTCTAAATTTTAGATCCAGACAAACCACACTTTGTCTCTAAATTTTAGTCTCTAAAACCTTAATTTTTTGTAGTGTCATAAGCATGAAACTATGAAGCATCAACACTAGAGCTCTCCAGCTCTTATTACATGGTGTCATACTATAACCATTACTCATATATAGCCATAGCATTAAGCTTGGACAAGCATATAATCAGCATCTTTAAAGAGATTAATCAAGTTCTTCAAATATTTTTGTGGATCAGGGACATCCTTATTTCGTTTCTCATACTCTATTTCTATCAAATGGACTATTTTGTTCTCTTCATCTATGGAAACACTCTCTTTGTATGTCTCGACCTTCCCCTCTATTTGCACCAACACAAGCAAGCATAAATTGAGAAAAGTCAACCATAAATAATGACTAAATATTAAAAAATTGAAATCAGTAGGAAATAATGTAATTAGTATACCATGCCTTACCAACAACACAAGTCCAGGCCTTGACAGATCCATGATCACCCCATTCACCTTCATGTAAGTTTACATTTTGTATGTGGTGAGAGACCACAATGGTTACTTGAACAGAATAATTTGAATACAGAACATAAGCAGCATAGATAAAACAGAAGGAAAAAATAAAAAAATAATAAATAAAAACCATACTCTCACATGAATAACAAAATTTTTTCTAAGATAAAAAGTAAAAAGGCAGGCAGTTCCTTTTACAGTTTTGAATTCTTCATGATAACTATCTAATTGTTTAATGTAGCCAAAAGATGACACAAAATATCAAACAAAGAAATTTTGTTTAACTAAAGGAACCAACATCATGTTTAGTTGTTTCATGGTAAATATTGGAATCTTCTCTGTAATAAAAGCATATCAATATCATGTGAAACTCATGTTCTATAGATCCATTAACAACTATCTGTATCCCTAGATAAATTTAATCAATATTCAAAAAACCAACAACCAATTAAACAAAAGTTAGGAGTTGATGGCACCTTCATAGATTTATACATAGAAAGGTAAGGTACTGCACTAAAAAGAACTAAAGAATATCAGAGATGCATTACAAACTTAAGATTTCAAGTTGAACTCAACTTCGAGGAGCAAAAACAGTTAGAAGAAACATACATCATTTCGAACAAGAATTGTTGGCTTGAATTCTCCTGTGCCCTTGTTAACACCCTCTTTACATTTGATAGAAAGCTGACCAGTGCCTTTATCTTTCCATGCATCATTATATGCTGGATCACTTGACTGATATAATAACCACAGAAGTTGTCCCATGTCCAACTTCTCGGTCTTGAACGTTCCTAATAGATTCATTTATAACTAATGCCAAAAGATAAGGACTTAGTATTGATTTTTTTTTTTATGTAAACCTATTACCATTAGAAATTCACATGTTTCTCCTCTGTTTAAACAATAGTTACAACTCAGATATACATATATATCTTTAATTACATCAAAATATCTAACTAATGCTCCTTTATTTTCCAAAACTATCCACATTATATCTATCTAAGCAGCTCATAATGCTATCTAGGAAACCTATCATATATCTTATCTAAACCAATAATCACTATATAAGGTCCTGCAAATTCAAAAACTTTTGTATCTCATCAGAATTTGTCAACAACTTTGCTGCATATTTTTTTTTCCGGGCATTTTCTCAACAACAAAACAGAGGCAAAAACTATAAATATTATCAGAAAAATGTACAGCATAAAATTCTCATCTTAATTTTCATTCTAAGGGACTAAAAACAGAGCTAAAGAAAAAAACTCAATTTCTTCAATTTTAGTTTCTGACAATTTCCAAGCAGATAAATAAAGGCAAAATGGAGAAACATGATCAGACAAAATAAAAACATGCTGAATTTTCAGGCTTGAGAAGCAACAAAAAAAAAATTGGAAATGAAAAAATAAAATTGAATTGCATTGCATTCATCAAATAATAGAAATCATCAAATTTGAATATTGCAACGGTCATCCGTCGATCCAAACCCTAGGAGCATTTTCAAATCGCAAAATGAGAAGAAATGAAGGAAAATAGAAACAAAGAGAAGAACTTCCGAGAGAGAGTACCTTGAACTCGATCGAAACCCTAGGTATCCAAAAACAAGAACAAACGGAGAAAGAAACTAGAGAGAGAGAGAGAGAGAGAGAGCGTACCTTCAATGATCGAGTTCAAAAGAATCAGGGAAAAGCTTACTGTGTCTTTAGAATATAAGAAACAGAGAGCACAAGATTGAGAAGAACATCAAGACAGTGAGATCGAAAGAAGAGAGAGAGTGAGAGATTCATACCAGTGTGAGACTGAGAGAGAGACAGCGAGAACGCGTGCGAGAAAGAGAACGATCATTGTGAGGGGCTAGGGCAAATATAAGGGAAAAGGGGAAAATAAATTGAAGAAAATAAGGAAGTTATTTGCGACTGATAACCAGAGGGTCGCAAATTATATGGTAGCAAAAGGCCACTTTTCTAGTAGTGTATATAGATTACAAGTCCAAAATATGGGATTTATTGGTCAAAAATAGAGTTATAACAATTTGTAATTAAAAAATAAAGCAACACATTGGTATGGTAATGTTACATATTTTTTTATTGAAACATTTTTGAACTACAAAATATGTAATATTATCACAAAAATATTTAACATTACCATAAAAATTTATAACATTATTTTTTAATCACAATTGTATCAAAAAATTATATAACATTTGTTATAATAATACATAGTATAAATATAAAAAAAATACATAACAAAATATATATCATAAACATCATAACAAAGTGTTCCCTAAGAATTATTATTATTATGATTATTATGGTGATGTCTAGAAAGATGGCAAACAATGTTCAAATGACAAGGATGTCTATCATTTATGCCAAAAGCAGTTTGAAAAATGGAAACAAAAACATGTGAATTAAAAAATTGTCACTTGACCAAAATTTTAACCTTACTGACCAAAAATTGTGACTTGACCAAAATATTAACCTTAATTCTTCTGCCATTCAATAGAATGTTTATGCGCGTTCTGAACTTATATAATTTTTCTCAATGCATTGAAAAACATTTAAAATCATTATTTTTTTATTTGCTAAAGAGCCCTTTCAAATTGAGACTTGGAAACAAGTGCTCTTAAGGCTTAAGGATTAAAATAAAAAAATAAAAAAATAAAAAAATAAAAAAGAGCTTCTTTTTAAGAAAAATCGTTGATAAATCCATCTTTAGGGTGTATGATATTAGGTCCAAGAATTATTTTGTTTTGGTTATAAGAATGCGATTAATGAAATTTTTTATGAGCTAGTATAATAGTTATAAAAATAAAAAAAAAAATAAAAAAATCTGGGTCCTCTTTCTCTAACCAATTTTTGAGGTCCAAAGCGACTCCATTCCCAGCTTTGAGCCATAACGGATAGTGTTTAAGTGTGCAACCCCTTAAAGGTTGCACACCATATTGTAGACACCTCATTTTTGACCGCCCTTTGAGCGCCTTAGGTTGGTCACCCGTTGATGAAAAGTTACGCTGGACAAACATTCGATTTCCTCAGCAGAAAGCCTCGATTTTAAGTCTCAAAAGCCTAAATCCTTGCACCACTTTTGGACCAAAACAGAATTTTTTTAAGCTTGACCACCCAAAAGCCTGTAGGCCAAGGGTGGCCGGCTGGCTAGAAATTGGTGGTCGGCCGTCCCCCACCTGGCTAGCCGGCCATGTTTCCCGATAAAACAGATATTTGTTGCTAGTTGTCCCTCCATGTACATGCGCTGCACCAGCTAGCTCGATATAGATATTTCCGAGATATCAACCAGTTATTTTATATATAGAGAGCCATACCTTATGTTTTTAGATTAGAAAAAAATTCCAAGAGCTCAAATTCTTGAAAATATCTCTATTTCTCTATCTTGCAACCTATATACACCCTACCTATACTCTCTAAACCAAAATTTTTAGGGCTTCTTGCTGAGGTTCTTAAGCTTAAATTTCAGCACTCGAGGGTGAGAATTTGTTGGTTTGTGAATCAAAGTGTTACTCCTCTTCAAGAGGTATAACTTCTAGCTTCTTTACATTATTTCTTCCTTATCTTCACTTGTTGTTTTTACACTGTTTTTACCCTGTTTTTATGGGTTGAAACTTGTGATTTAAAGCTATCAAAATGTAACAACCCCGACCTCTAATTAACGTTAATTCATGGTTAAATAAGCCTAAACAGTAATTAAAGTGAAATTCTGAATTAATTGCATGTATGTGTTGCATTATTGTGTTTATATCTATTTATCGTAGAAATATCTATATCTGTTTTTGTTTCTGCTTTGTACTGTGAATTGAAGGCTTTATCGGCATCCGATTACGAAATTGACTTGATTTATGTGTTAGTTGGAATTTTTAGAACATTGTGGTAGGTTCAAGTCGATTCGGAACGATTAAATTAGATTAATTAAGGCCTATATGATTAGCTTAAACTAAATTAATTAAAGACCACTAAGCAAGCCTATATAAGGCTTCTATACCACTTAAGACACATCTCATCTTCATCCTTATGAGCCCAAAACGTGGGTGAGAGAGAAAGAGAATAAGGAGAATTGAATTCAAGCTCAAGGATTGTAGAAGGTAGAAGACTTTGAAGCTTTTGGCTTGAAAACTCTAACAATTAACCATCTAGAGCACAATTGAGAGGCTAAGGTAAGAATTCAAGCCTTTGGTCGTGTTCTTGAGTTGGTGAATTCATGAATACAAGTGTATTGGGTGGATTATTATGAGAAGTGAGCTAGAATGAAGAAACATAGATCATACCATGCATGCATGTCCATTTGAGCACAAATTGAGTTTGATTTCAAAGAATTCTCTCATACATGTGTCCATCTTACCTTTATTTTAAGAATTCATCTTGATTAATGTCATTTTATCTCAATTGATCATGTTTAGAAGCTTTGAAGTCAAGATAAAACATGCATGTTATGTTTTCAAAGAATAGAGTTGAGTTTTTATTTTGCACAATTGGCAAGCTTTTGCGGCTTAATTTTGTGAAATGACCTTGAATTCATGATGTTTGACTGGTTTAAACATGTTTTCTCAAGTTTTGGGGCCCAAAGGTTGCATTCTAAAGTTTTATATTCAAGTTTTAGACTTGGGAGTGCAATCTAAAAATTCCAGATTCTACACTTTCGCTTGAGCGGCAGGATCTGCGCTCGAGCGACCACTCTGTGATCTTACACTTCCGCTCGAGCGACTAGAGTCCGCTCGAGCATGAAATGCAAGCTCCCAGAAGTTTCACATTTTTTCAAACCGCTCGAGCGACAAGAGTTGCGCTTGAGCGAGGACCTAAGTCTCACGCTCAAGCGACCGTCAAGCATGAAAATCACATAACCAGTACTTTTTCAAAGTTTGCAGACCGCTCGAGCGAAGGCAGTTAAGCTCGAGCGGCCCCTCACATGTTTGCATGTCTGCTCGAGCGAAGGAAGTTGCGCTCGAGCAGGACCCCTATTTTTAGCAAGTTTTGTTAAGTGTTTCCAAGTGCATTTTTGGCATTCTCATTGCATCCTAGGCATTCCTAGACCAAGATTAAGATACAATAATGAAAGTATAGGCTAGAAACACACTAAGAATGGAATGAAATGAGTTATGTTCAATCCAAGTGTGTGTTTCAGCATATGTATCTATTATGTTGGTGTAGGTCACGCGCCATGAGCATTTGAGCCATTGGTCTGCTACTAAGCTATCTGTGAAGCTATCTATGAGTAATAACTTAGTAAAGCTATGTTCAATATGAAATACTTTTTGAACATTATGATATGATATGAACTGTTTCTGAATGATACAAAAGGTTATTTTGTGATTACATGAATGATGATCCAATTCTTGAAATGTCTTTGTGGTATCCTTAGCGGAGGCCCTCACCCAGGGGAATAATAATGTGACTTATGGTCATGAGGCCCTCGCCCAAAGGAATAATACCGTGGCCAGGCCCTTGCCTGGGGGAATAATATCGTGGCCCATGTACGAGATATGTTACTCGGTACCGGAGGTTCCATTATAGAACTTGATATGCTTGACCAACATGTTATGTTACTGTAGACACCCCATTTTTGACCGCCCTTAAGACTTGGGCGTTACTGATGGTTTACTTGTTGGTAAAAGGTGTGCAGGGCAAAGGTTCAAATTCGTCAGCAATGAGAGAGTCAAATCCCAACTTCATACCCCTTTTGGACCAAAACAATCTTGATCAAAAGATTTTAGATCTTAAAATCCTCTCTTTCAAAATGTTTTGAAAATAAAATTCCTACGATGTTCCGACGCTCACATTTCGATAAATGTTGTGTTTTTCGGTAAACCGAGCATGGACAAGTTGGAGATGAATGAAAGAGAGATGAAATCTTTGAAAAATCTTTCAAAACACTTTGTTTAGGGGTTTGGAGTTGAAGAAAAGAGGAAAGGAGAGGAGAAAACTTGTTTGGGAGCAGTTCGGCATGAATCCGGGTAAGAGAGAGTTGAGCAGTCCTCGCTGAATTGGGCTTATTCATTGGCATACTTGGATTTTAGCTATAAGGCCACCACCGTTGGAAAGCTTACTTCTGGGACTTCATTTTGCACTCAAGAATCTCCTAGAGCCAAGTCCGAGTGGGGGAGATATGATTGGTTGAAGTTGGGTATCATCCCGGTTGGATCGAATCTGCGCGGCTTCACCAAAATGGGCATAACGTTTTCCACAGGAAG